GATTATAAATGAATTCATTTGTTCTACCAATGACTGTGGTCATGCTTCGTGACAAGCGTGGGAAACTCTGATCTACATTTTTATGATGCAATCAGAATGATTAATTTGGGGAAAGATCAAAGTAAAGATGTACTTCAAGTTAAAATATTTAATCAATCTTTCTTTTAAGTCAATATTTATCATATTGCTACAGAACAGAAATTATCTTAAGGCTATCTGAGACTTTTGATTTCTCTTTTCAATCAAGTTTATTAAAAGATGGGAATCTCCATAGCATTTTGGAAAATGTGTGGGTTATCAAACTTTGTTTTAAAATTGGTTTTGCTGGATATTAATAGTGGTGACATTATTTCCTCTTCTGTAAAATGAGGTTAATTGTACTTCTTCTGCATCTTTATTGAAAGGATTACAGATGGTTTATATAAGTTTTTGCATGAAAATTCTAGTACCTTGCTTGCCACATAAGCTAAAAAAACATATTTCATTATTATTACTGTTATTAATATACCCCCATATCAATCATAAATCATGCAATCAATTTAATAAACTACCATGCAATTGGATATTTTCAATCATTTACTATATGATTTTTTTTGCAGTAAAAATTAAACCTTCCCGTGGAAACTGCACACACAGCAATTGGACGAGTTTTTAGTAACAGAATCCTTGATACTGAAACTTGATACTCAGGCAACTCAGATATGTGATTATTATTCTCTATTCCCTTTAGAAACAAAACAAAATAACCCTACAAACTTCTATGTTCCATGAACCAAGACATGGCAATAGAGAGAGAATGCTATAGTCAAAGAGTTACATATTTTAAAATTTAATTTTTTTGATACATAATAAATGTACATATTTTCAGGATACAAGCAAAGATTTGATACATTCATATAAAGATCAAATTAATGTAATTGGGATATCCATCACCTTAAATATTTGTCTTTTTACTAGAAACATTTGAGTTATTTTCTTCTAGAATTTTGAATAATAGATTGTTGTAAACTATAGTCATCCTACTGATCTATCAAACACTAAGGCTTATTTCTTCTATCTAAGTGTATATTTGTACCCATTAATCAACCTTAAAGAGTTACATATTTAAAGGGCATTTGTGGTTTTCACAATATTATCCTATATATTTTCAAGTGAAGAACTAAAGGAATAAGAGCAATATTTTAATAATTTAGTTTAACAAATCATTTCCTTTCTAATAATTCTTGAAAACCTTTCATATGTCATTTCATGCCAATTTTATTTAAAGACTGTTAGTAGTTCAATTCTTATTAAGCTAAATGGCCATAGGTCCATTAATACTATATATTGAAAGTGAAAGTTGTCTAAATGGTGCAAATAAGACCTCAAAGCACTCTGGCTTCTTAAGTGGCATCAAACTGATTCTGATTCAATAAAGCTTGATTTTAGTAAAACTTCTTGTTGGATAAATTAGCAAGCGCAAAGACTTTCTTACTTATTACCTTTATTATTACTATTGAAAATACTTTGTTTAGGGCCCAAGCTAGCTGTCTTTGGTGTTTTAGTGGGGTCCCAGTTGTTATAGGATCATCAGTATACCAGGAGTTACAGTCTCATCTGAAAAAAATGTATGGAACATGCATACAGATAACTTCAAAATACACTTAGACAGACTGCAGTATAATTTAAAACCTTAATTTGCCATGCAAGTTTGTATCACTTGCATGAGGTCAATGTCAGGAATGTTTGCCAACTTTGGGAGTCCCTTTCTGGGACCCAGGTGGAACCCAACATTGTTTTCTGATACCAACAAGAGAAGGCATCTTCTGACTGTGCACATTTACTAATTAGGACCACTTGCTGAATGGTTTTCATTTTAATAAACGTTACAACCAAGAGGCCACTAATTTAGGGAAATTATCATTTCTTGGAGAAAACTAGCATATTCATTTTTGATTATTTTAAGAGGCAGGCAAGTTATGGCTTGACTGTCAATGACTCTACTATGTACACATATATAATTACCTTAACTTGATTTCAAACTCAAGTCTCCATTCTGCTAGGTGGATAAAAATAATCTCAGCCAATTCACATTAATTTGGATCAGCGATTTCTCCGTCAACTCCAGGATTTGTTTTTATCCCGTCTCTTTTTCCTGGGTTGGATTTAAGTTCTGGAGATGCCTGGAGCAGCTAGTCTTCTTACCTTTCCATGCTGTTGAGTCCACTGATACAATCGGCATCTTGGCCAGTATTGGTTTACGCAGAAGCTACTGCCCGCTCCCTACCTTCCTGGGGAGGGATTGTGTGTGGGTCTCGCTGCCATACCTGCTTCATTCCTGGCAGTATGGGGAAACATTCTAATAGCCACTCCTGCAGGATTGCACCCGGCACAGACAGGCGTGGGCAAGTCTGTGAGGCTCGCTGCCTCCCCAGGCTCCACTTGAGTCAAAGCTCCTCTTTGTGTTCCAAAGCTATCTGAGGCCTTTATCGGATAAATGACATGGCATATGCACTCTGGGAGGCCGAGGCGGGCGGATTGCTCGAGGTCAGAAGTTCGAAACCAGCATGAGCAAGAGAGACCCCGTCTCTACTATAAATAGAAAGAAATTAATTGGTCAACTAATATACATAGAAAAAATTAGCCGGGCATGGTGGCTCATGCCTGTAGTCCCAGCTACTCGGGAGGCTGAGGCAGCAGGATGGCTTGAGCCCAGGAGATTGAGGTTGCTGTGAGCTAGGCTGACGCCACAGCACTCACTCTAGCCTGGGCAACAAAGCGAGAATCTGTCTCAAAAAAAAAAAAAATGACATGATATATGGAACCCATAGTCAAGGCCACACTAATATGTTAGATATTGCTGCCTCAAGCTCTCTTCTCAGCCAGCACAATCTTTACCTCATAGATGATATACGTAGACAGGTAGATGGGAGTCTTTAAAATCTACTGTTTAACACATATACTTTATGTCTAAAGTCCATCAGCCTTATATTACTCAAAATGCAGGCTCTTGAATCTCAAAATCCCCTTTTTTTAAACATTGTTTTTGTGCTTAAAAGCAATGTTCTCTTCTCTTGTTCAGTACTGGTGTTTCTGTGATAACCCTACCTTGAGTTAATGCATGCAAAGATCTAGTCTGAGTGATAAGAGAGTCACAGGGTTATAAAACCATGGCAAAAATCTAATAATTACAATGAACAAAAAAATCATATTGATTACTATGTCAAAATAGTAACAACCCATGGCTGGGTTTCCTTTCATTGCTTTATCCGATGAAGCCCATTGTTTGAAAAGGATGAAGGAGAATAATAAGCAGGATATCCTCATTAGAGATTTGTTCTCTCCTTGCTTTATAAAAACAGTAAAATTTTTAATAACCAAATCAGATATGGAATGTGACTGACATAACATTTCAGAATTTCACTCTGTAACTTTTGATCTTTGATTCTGCAGATAAAGGAATTTCAATTTGAAGCACATACACTACTAAATAATTATTTTAACAGTTTGAATTTTAGAAAAGATACCTCAGCTGAAGAGAAAGTAATTATAAAATTGACTAAACGTGAGATGTATTTTGGTTTCATTGAATAGTTCCCTTAGGAATAGCTCTACTTCTTTACTTCAAAGCTGTGGTGGTTTCTTCTTACTTTTCCTCATAAAAATCTGAGCAATTCAACATAGTACTTAGTGACTGGGAGGCCGAGGTGGGCAGATCCTTTGAGCTCAGGAGTTCAAGACCAGCCTGAGCAAGAGCAAGATCCCATCTCTACCAAAAATAGAAAAAATCAGCCGGGCATGGTGGCACATGCCTGTAGTCCCAGCTACTCGGGAGGCTGAGGCAGGAGGATTGCTTGAGCCCAGGAGTTTGAGGTTGCTGTGAGCTAGGCTGATGCCACAGCTCTCTAGCCTAGCGGGGGCAACAGAGTGAGACTTTGTCTCAAACAACAAAAAAGAAACAGTACTTAGTGAGAAGGGCGACCTGACTGGCAACACAGGATTTACTCAGTGTCTTCACACAACTGGCCCTTGCTTTCCTTTCAGACACTTATTAGACTTTTCCAGCTGCACCAATTGAGACAGCCTATTCCTTTCCCCAGGAGGTGCCCCGTCCTCACCGACCTACAACTCCTTTTATTCTAGTCCACCTCGTGGCTTCCTCAGTCGCTGTCACGGCCACCCCTTCATAAAGGCTCTCCAGGCTCTCACATCCCTCTCCCGCGGCACTTCTTTAAAGCTAACCTGTATTACGTATATTTGTGCAGTCAAAACAGGACCAGACCCAGAAAGAGAAAGCTTGGAGTTTTTAACCCTGCTCCAAACATCATACCAGGACATTTCAATTCTCTGAGTGTCAACTCAGCCTGTGGATTTCACAACTTGCATTGTTTTCAGTGTGAAGTTTACTGGCTAAAGCTTTCAGCTCCTTGTGCATCAAAATGAAGTCTCAACTTCCAATAGTGCTCAGTAGCTATTTGCTAAATCAAATAGAAGGGCAGATGAGAAACAAAACATTTATTGATCAATCCAGGGGGGATAAATGGGGAAAATGATAGAACTGTTCAGTTATTTTATTTGACTCTCATTGACAGGGGTTTGGCAAGGGGTTGGTTACAAACTACCTTATCCCTTCCCTTCATCTTAGCCAATGATTGTGAGTTCCTTCTCTTATATCTATAGAGTAAAAGTTTTAATACTCTTTCTTTTTACAATTTACAAGAGGGGGCATGTATTATAGTAGTTCCTAGCAAAGAAAAGGGCTGAAGATTATATACTAATTCACATTTCATTTGACAAGCTTCTGAATAAACCCAGAAAGGCTCGCCAGGTAAATACCAAGTCATATCACTTCATTTCAAAGGAGATCAAAATAGCTAGTTCCTTGCCAACAATCTAAGCCTTTTCAGTAGTTCAACAAGTGGCATTAGGTGTTTCAGCTCACTGCAATAGCTTCATCTTTTATCATGTTTTCATGTTGATGAAATTTATCTATTTCAAAGATGACCAAAAAATAAGCTTACCTTCATCCTTAGACCATCACATCTGTTATTCAATAATCTTTCTTTGCTTGTAGGTACCTGAAATAGTGAGAAAGAATAGAAAAAGAAAATTAAATATAACTCAACAGCATTTTGTACAAGGCAAATATTTACAATTTTAATTGATGACAGACACACACTTCATAAAACTATTAGCATGCAACTCCAGCTGCAAAAACTGAACAGCAATATGCCTAAGCTGGTTAGCAGCAAAAAAGTAAACCAATCACATCGACAAAAAGCCACCATACACAAAAAAACTGTATTTAAAAGATTTAACAGTTTTGGCATTCATCCCTACCATCAAGTCTTTCACTTTCTTTTTTTCCATCAAAATTTAGCTTACGTTTGATGTTAGCAAGAGTTGCATTACTATTATTGTTAATTTTAGTTCTGTTTATTGCCTTGAGGGTTATATATTGTAAAATAATTTTGGTGCCTCTAGTTAATGTTAATTAGTTGTTTTAATAGCCTATAGACCTATTTGTTATGTTTTTGTAGGTTTACTTTTTTAACTATCAGGAACTAAATAACTGAGAATATTTAACATTACTGGTGCATAGGCAAAATTACAGAGTTACTATTAGTGTTACCTGTTTAACGTTTAGTCATCCTTTGAGTCCTGCGACATATTTCCTTAATAATCATCAGCCATCAAGTCTGATAGTCTCAAAAGAAATATCAGCCCTCTAAACTGCCTTCAAGGGAGGTGATATTTAGCACTGAAAATTACAAATAAAGTTTTTGAGGTTGAATAGCAACAACTGGCCAGTGACACTGATGATTTGTTTGTCAAAACAAATTGTTATAAACTACGCAAATGAAGTCCACGCACTCCTTTGAGTGAAAACAATAAAGTGAATCTACGCAATGCTTACATGTTGGATGGGATATTTAATGTGCGGGGAAACTCAAAGGTTGAAGAACTAGGCATTTAGACAGTGGTAAGTGGTAATCTTACCTCTTTATACTCCATTACTCTTTCTCACGAGAGACATGCTAATGCAAACAAGTCAATCAGAATTTGTGTTTAGCAAGATAAAGCTTAGAGGATAGTTTAAAATCCATTTATTATTCTAAATCCATTTTTTTCCATTAACATGTTATACATTAGTGTTTACTAACCATGATTCATGTAACAGTTTAGTTTGTTAACTTTTAAATTATTTAACAACCATAAGTTATTAATACATTTTTAAGTATTACACAAATATCTTAAAACAGGCTTGGGTTCATTTTTGTAATTTTTAAATAGAAAACATTTTAGGCATCTCTTGAAGAAGAAATAAAGCAGGCATTTAAAGCTAGAAAACAAGTAATTCCAAATTTAGTTTTTACAAAAGTTTTCAGCTTTATTGACAAATTATGGCAAACATATTTGACAAATTGTGGTTTCCTATTTAGAGAAGCTTACACATGGAACTTTATGTGTGTTTTTTTTTCTTTTTTAACAAATACAGGTTAAAACACTGAACAAATTCAGTTAGCTACATACATACAGTAGCTGCTTGTTTTCAACCCCATTAAAACAGCATTTAAAATTAAATTTACAAACTGAATATCGAACATCTTCATCTAACTAACAGATATTAAAAGACAGGTTAAAACATCTTATCTACAACTTTATTCTCAGCTAGTTCAAAAATCATATTACAGTCTTTTAGCGACCCTAAACAAAGTTTCTGCTAGTTGGTTGAGACTCAAAATCTGTTAACAGATTCATGCTCTTTCTTAAAATAAAAAAAAAAAGAAAAAGAAAGAAAAAGAAGAAAGAAAAAAGAAAAAAAGATTACACACAACAATGAAAAACAACCAAGAGAATATCATCCTACTGAAAAGCTTATAGACTATGCTTGCCAATGTCTCTTTCAGTCCGTTTTGTAAAATAATACTAGTGTCAATTTCACGCCAACAGTATAGTGGGAAATACAAGAAATATACGGGAATAATCATGAGCAGTTATCCCTAGAATAGAAAAAAACAAACAAACAAACAAAAAAAGGACTATTACTTGTCTTGTTGCTGTTTATGTGGAGACCACAGGCTATGAATTGTCTTTGAGGTGAGGTCACAGTTGAGGAGGACCTTCAATATCTACCATAGGGGTGTTCCCTGTATCCCCCTCTGGCTGACCTCGGCGGTGGTGCCTTCAAGCTAGAGCGGGTTGTGGCCCATTCTTCTGGTGCTATGAACAAGAGAAAGACAGTAACGTACATATGACCACACAGTTATCAAAAATAATCACTTCAGGCACACTAGTTGACCAAGAAAAAGAGAATAAAAGATCTCAACACTGAAAGCTAAAACCTTACTACTCATCCGAAAGTGTGTATGTATGTGTGTGCGTGTGTGTGTGTGTGTGTGTGTGTGTGTGTGGCCACTTGTAATTAAACTTTAAACTTTCAGGATATTTTTCAAAAAAGAGAAAATCAAAATCCTTGGATAACTACCTACACCTTTATTATATGTTAGATCTCAGTGCCACAAAATAGAGTAGTATCAGTGTAAATCACTTCTCATTTAATCTTTTCATACAAACTTGCAAAAGAAATTGGATATAGTAGACCAGTGGTTCTAAGCCCTTGATTAACTTGAGAATCACTTGGGCATCCTACACAAACAAACAAAATCAAAAATAACTAATGCCTCTTCTCTGTTCCCCAAACCAACTGATTAGAAAACTCCTCAGGTGGGATCTAGGGTTTGTATTTTTCAAATGCTCCTCAGATGATATTTATGTAGTCCAGGGTTGAGATCTATTGTGCTAAACTGTACTAGACAAAGTTAATGAGAGATAAGTAGGAGAGAGTAGAGAAAATTTTAAGCAGTAAAATGAGTAAAAAAAAAAAATAAGTTTTTCCAAATAAACAACTCAGAAAACAAAGAGGTATTAGTACCCTAGGAAGACTCCTCATTTACCTGTTATTCAGAGTTCCAGTACCCTCAATGTTTTCCAACTTAGCAAAAAACCAAGAAATAAGCAACCAAGCTTTTAAGCATTGTGGAAAATAGCTATTGTCAAGTCTATGTCCAGAGGGGGAAAAATGTCCATCTTTAAAGAAACTTAATATTGGGTTTATGGTGACATTTTATGTGATTCGGGAAACTAGATTATCTTTGTCTTGTAATCAGAATTTAGTTCCTCATGGAGAGTAAATTACACACATGAGTCTATAGCAGCAGTCCCCAACCATTTTGGCACCAGGAACAGGTTTCATGGAAGACAATTTTTCCACAGCCCAGCGGGGGATGATTTCAGGATGATTCAAGCACATTACATTTATCGTGCAGTCAAACAAACCTCTCTGCTAGTGATAATCTGTATTTGCAGCCACTCCCCAGCGCTAGCATCACCGCCTCAGCTCCACCTCAGATCAGGCATTAGATTCTCATAAGGAAGGAGCGCTCAGCCTAGATCCCTCACGGGCAGTTTACAGTAGGGTTCTTGCTCCTAAAAGAATCTAACGCCACCACTTATCTGACAGGAGGCGGAGCTTATGCGGTGATGCGAGTGACGGGGAGTGGCTGTAAATACAGATGAAGCTTCCCACACTAGCCTGCTGTTCACTTCCTGCTGTGTGGACTGGTTTCCAACAGCCCACAGAGTAGTACCAGGCCACCGTCTGGAGATTGTTGACTGCAGCTCTATGGGATTGAAGAGCTGAGGTAACATATTTTCAAGTTTTCTTAGGAAACGGAAGTCCTTGGTCCCTTCTCAGGTTCTAATGTCCCTGGTAAATGTTCCTATGAAATAGCGGAACAGCCATGAGCACAGTGACAGAAATATCTGCCACATCCATTCCCAGATTTTTCACAATTTTAAATTGACATTAAGTCCTGGGGACTTGCCATAGAGGACCTAAGTGTTTAATAAAACTCATTGACTTGGTACATGTGATATTTTGATACAGGCATCTTGGCTTTACTTGACATTTTCTAAAGCTCTAGGGCAGTTAACTGATGAACTAAAACTTCATTTCCTGTTAGCCAGCACTAGAATAGGGAGTGTCACTGTTCACTGTTGTATCCCGAGTGTCTGGAAAAAATGCAGTGCCTAGTGAGGCTCTAATGCAATGAAAGGCTGCATGAACAAAGGACGAATGGAGGAATAAATGTGGAAATGACAAAGTAGAAAGAGCTTCCAAGGACAACCTAAACAAAACAGCAGCAGTTGAGGTGAAGAAATTTGATGTTTCTTTTAAAAAAAGCTCCATAACAAAATCTTACATATATGCTATAAAGTCAGACTTCATACTCGAAAGAGTTAGTTATCTAAGTAGCGAAAGTGTCTCACTACTGAATTCAAGGAAGCAATCACAGTGGAATCCCTTTACAAAAAAGTGCAAAAACATTATGTTTCATTGTGTAAAAATGTGCTCTTTTATAATTCTCTATATGTGACTTAATACTATTCTCTTTCCTCTTTGCTCAAGGCTAGGAAAATGGGAAATACTATTAGTTTATAACAACTGCAACGAGGAAGGTAAAAGCCAGCCAAAATGAATTCCTGTACAGGCAACATTGATTTCAGATTTTCCAAGATTTCTAACCATTAGCAGAGGAAATCAAGGATTTAGTCTTTAATTCAGATTTAATTCAGACTTAATTCAGATTTTGGTTCTATTGTTTATATGTTCTCAGTAACACTAGTGAATTGAGATCAGGAAAATTATTATTTCTATTTGTGCCAAATTTCCTTCATCTATATCTTTCCTAATATCAGAATGTTTACATACAGTCACACATTTCCAATTACCATGTGATAATACAAGCCAGTTTCTCAGTGAAATTATATTCTTTGAATTGGGCTTGGAGAATACTGACTCAATGAATACTTTTCAATGTCACCATTTAGTGTGTCATTGAACTTTCTTAAGGCTTCTGGATTTCTTTACTGCAAGTATCAGAGATAGAAGGGATTCTTAGGAATTCAAAGGGATTGTAGCCTGGGTCAACCATGGAACTTTGAGCATGGAAGAGACCCAACCACAAGGAGAGAAAAATTATGATAAGGTCCCTTGTGAGGGGGTTTCTCTGAAATATGAAGTTATAAAGGCCCAGGAGTAGACTTAGAATTTATCTGTCCTCTTGGAATGTCTAGATAAAGAAGGATTCAGCAGACAAGTGGATTTAAAATATTTTAAGACTTCCTACAAATTTTGGAGTCCTGGCCAATTGTTTCTAGTCCTGTGATGTAGTCTAGGATGTCATTTTTTTAAAAAAAAATCATTGCAGACAATGAAATTTAGGGTTTCTTTTTTTTTTTAAATGACAAAGGAAGGAAGATGCTCTCAAATCAAGATCATTGTCATATGAGAAACTCTAGCTAGGTTATCAATGTGAATTGAGCAAATAACAAATTACTCCACAGAGAAGGCACCAAATAACTATCTGCTGAATTGAAATTACTGGAATGGGTTGCAGAATTGTGGATCTGGAAATGACAAATTAGGATATGACAAACAGGTCCAGTGACTAGATCAAATTGCCACCATTTCTTGGCTTCCCAATTCAGATTTTAAGGTACCATATAGTATATGGAATATGAAATAAATTCAAGTTTATTATATGAATAATAAAGCATCACTAAATACATTTTTTTTCTTTACTGAAGATCTCCTAAATGCCAGTCACTACACTATGACCTATGAATGAGGACAGTTAAAGACACTTAAAAAAGATTACAAGGGGAAAATTAACAAGCAATTTCATAGATTACAACATAATTATAATTGATATTTTAAGAAAATGCTGGAAAAAATATAGAGGAGAAAGTTACTAACTAACTTTCATCATGCAGCTGAACTTGGACTGAACTCTAACATTTAATCATCTCAAAGAAGGGATTTTCTGAGCAAATATACTCGGTAAGAACACAGGTGCTGTTTAACTTATCTAAGAGAATTCACTTTCTTTAAAGGCTTTCCTGTATTAATTATTTTGTATCATCTGGCCTTGTTTCTAACCTGGACTCTAAGAGGAGAAACTATCCACAGTGGTAGACACATAGTAAGAACACCATAAATGTTTGTATGCTCCATATAAATAAATGGTGCTACTAAACCAAAGAGGAATTTTAAAATCAATTATGCAAAATAAGTAAAACAGGACTAAAAGTAAAACAGAAAGGCATTGTTAGCAATTAGGTTGTCATATTGCATGTATCTAATATATATCAATAATTCTTTTAAAAGATATTCTGTTTTTTTTTATTGACTCAGATTGGTATTTTACCTAGTGAATCAAATTTTACAGACTGTCTAGAGTGCATCTCCATTACATGCTAATCAGCATCACTGAGGAACATTTTACTTTGATAGAAGAGTGTAAATTACCCAGGTAACTCTTCTTGTACCTTAAATGTTACTCTAGTGACTGCAAAAGCTTCTGAGTCTCAAATACTGTGCTCTCAGCAAAATCAGGCCTATTAAGAGGTGAGCATTTTTCTATGTGTTCTCATCTCTGCGATGGCACCAGGTACTTTGGGGAGGATTCACAGTGGGAAAGAAAAATCTGGATGATTTTTAAAGTTGCAAAAACTGCATTCTATTATTGTTTCAGAGATACTTTAAACATCGAGGTTTTTGGGGAAAACGTGAAGCACAGGAACGAAGAGCCAATTCAGGAAAAGTAGGCATTATTTAAGTACCTGAGAAGTAAACATTTAATGTTTATCTTTCAGGAAATAGTTTTAAATTGTCACCTTCAAGGCAAATTAATTTTAGGGATCAGTTCAGGAAACATATAGGATACCATGGAGATTTTAGGGGGCATAGCTATCATGTTCACGCTTTGCCAGTCCTACATAGCTCTGTGTTTCAGATTACTGAAATCTGAAAAGGAATCTCAGGAGAATGTTTCTTTTAAAAAACTCACAACAACAAAAGAGGGCAGCTCATGCTATTCATTTTGGGTACACTTTAAATCAATATGCAAAAACCACAACTAAAGCAGGAAACCTAAGTTAATCTCTATCGTTACAAACTGCTAATGTTTTTGGTTTGCAAATCATGTAAGAGCATTACAACACGGTTGATTAAAATTCACCCTGGTTCTGAGCCACTCAGTTTGCTGGTCTCATTTAAGTTTCTGATATCTCTAAGGAATATCATTCTACTTAAAAGCACCTTTCAAATATATACTTATGTGTTGTTTTAAGGCTATATATTCCAAAAGAGTATGTTA